ACATTACCTTGAGCGCTTACAACACCGCTATAATGTGATGTTGCGTGTCCAGCTGAAGAGAGATGTTGGACGAGATGGTCAGTGGATACTTCAAAGAGGAAAAAGTTGTGTTCCAGAAAAGTTTGCAGAGCTACAGAGGTGAGCAGCTTGGCTAGAGAGATGGTCTTACTGGCAGTGACCAGATAGCGTGGATAGAGGGGAGGAGACTGTGCTCTGCTAACGGAGCAGGGAGGGGAGTGGGCAAATTGGATCTTAAGCTGTGTGCTTGGAGCCCAGGTCAGTTTGCTATAAGCATAGTGCAAAGCAGGATTTTTCTTGTGTTGGAGTCAGGAAGGTGAGGGCTGGGTGGAGACATCTGCCAGGTCCTTTGTATATGCTGTCTTGACCTGTTAGTGTTCTTGCCCTGAAGGTGGGGCTGGCTTTGCCCTGCAGTTCCATCCTTGTGCTTCCTTCCAGTGATCATATACACCTATTCCTTGGGTCTGGCTAGCACAGCGATGCTCAACCAGGGTGTTAGGGCACTCCAGGGTGCCACAGGGTATAAGGAGATGATCCAAGCTCAGGCATGTCCCTGCCTAAATGATCCCCCACCCTTACTGCCCAGGCCCTTGTGTAAGGAGGTAAGCCCTGTAATATATACACTCGTTTTTTAAATTGGGTGTCATGCAAATAACCAAAGTTACGGAGGGGGGCCTGGAGTCCAGTGGGAGGTGCCTTGAGTCTAAAAAGGTCAAGAACCACTGGGCTAGCCTGCCCAAGAAATTGGGTAAACGAGTTTGCAGGAAGCCCGCAATGAGCTCTTCGGTGGTGGGGCAGTACTGCTAGCTGTACGTGAGCTCACAAGGTTAAAGCTGGCTCAGACACGACTATATGAGTTAGTCTTTGCAGGGCAGGTTTACTTTTAGATGTCTTTGAAAGAAAATATCTGTCTAAGGAAGCGTGAAGAAGGAAGGTAATCAGTGGTCAGAAATGGTTGGTCTGTGCTGTAAGAAATGTGCTTCTGTGTGTGTGAGTCAAGGGTTGTAATTGTGTGTGTACCTCTCACGAGGTTCAGTAAGAACAAGTGCAAAGTCCTTAGAACGAAACAATCCCATGCACCAGAACAGGCTGGGGGCTGACTGGCTGGGCAGCAGCTCCGCAGAAAAGGACTTGGGGGTTACAGTGCACAATACGATGCATATGAGCCAACAGTGTGCCCTTGTTGCCAGGAAGGCTAACGGCCTACTGTGCTGCATTGGTAGGTGTGTTGCCAGCAGATAAGAGGAGAGGCTGAGGGAGCTCGTCTTATTTAGTCTGGAGAAGAAACGACTGAGAGGGGATTCAATAGCAGCAGCCTTCAACTGCCTGAAGTGGGGTTCAGAAGAGGCTGGATCTGGACTGTTCTTAGTGGTGACAGATGACCGAACAGGGAGCAATGGGCTCAAGTTGCAGCAAGAGAAGTTTAAATTAGATATTAGGAAAATTTTTCTCATGAGGAGGGTAGTAAAGCACTGGAACAGGTTTCCCAGAGAGGCTGGGGAATCTCCATCCTTGGAGGTTTTTAAGACCTAGGTAGATAAAGCTTTGGCTGGGATGATCTAGTTGAGGATGGTCCTGCTTTGAGCGGGGGGTTGGATTAGATGTGACCTCCTGAGGTCCCATTGAACCCTAATTTTCTATGATTCTCTGATAGCCAGTGGGAATGGGAACACCTGTACCATATATAGAGAAGCAGCATATTCACCTAGATCTGATGTTAAAGCAGATTTCTCTCCTCTCCTGCCATGCAGATAACTGGCTATTGCAGTGTCCAGAAACTTCTGAGCCATGGGCTGGAACAACCTATGCCCATATGCTGCTGGCCTCTGTGCTAATGCATATAGTGTAGATGAGCTCTAATGGTTTGCAGGTTAACCAGCCAGAGCCAGGATTATACTGAATGGCTGTACCTGGCTGTCCAGTTGCCTTGCTTTTCTGCATCCTTCTGCGTTTTCTGGAACTTGGGTTCACTGTGGCAACATCCTTGACTTTCATTAACATGGCGAATAGAAGACCAGTTTGTTTTTTACACTGAGCCACCTAGATCTGGCGGGGAGGGGAAATATTCAGAAATCTACAGATCTTTTTGGTATCCTTTACTAGAGCATTGGAGAATGGGTGTTTTCCACCAGTTGAGCAGGTCAGCTGTATGCAGAAGGGACAGCACACGACCTAAATCCTGTTATGTCACACTTAACCTTTCAGGCTTAAACCATGTCAGCTGGTTCTTTGCGCAGGGCTGAAATTCAGCCAGCTGGTAAATATTTATCTGAAAAAAATTAAATAAGTAAAGGAGCAGTAGATGGTCTGAGCTGACAAACTATGTTTGAATTGTGACATAGGCTCTGTGTATTCTTAGCCAAGTCCTTTAGGATCGGATCCTGCACCACTGCAAGAAGTGCAAGTTCTTCATTGCAGACTTCAGTGGAAGCCTGATCACAGCTGTCATCCCTTTTGTGTTTACCACTTACAAGAAATGTGATGTTTTCAGGACATATAGACACTTTATAGTTTTGAAGATGACTTAGACGCAAGTCTTATTCCAGTTTGTTCTTTGCCAGACTCAGTTGGGGAGTTCTGGTGAAGACTTCTGACAAGCTGAGAAATCTGGTCTTTCACAAATATTGAGAGTTACAGAAAGATGGAAACGTTTTTTTTTAAAAGTACGCAAATTTACCACCTATTTAATATAATTAAATTAGGACTATCTACCTCAGCCATTCCCAATTTGTGGTACGTGTACCCCCAGTGGTATGCAGACAACCTGTCAGTGGTAGATGGCAGCAGCAGGTGGGGTGCTCGGGGCACTTGTGCCCGGTGGGGTGCAGCTGTGGCCAGCGCTGCACGTCTTAGCAAGGGTTGTAGCTTCTACTGGGCCGCCTGTATCGCCAGTGCTCCCTGTGCACATATGCAGCCCTTGCACTTGTCGGGCACGGGAGGTAAGCCCTGCATGCTGGAAGTGTCTGTCTTCCCCACCGGGGCTCTGCGGCATGGGAGGAAAGCCCCAGGCACCTTCCCCTGGGGGTGGGAAAGGCAGCTGGTTTCAGCATGTGGGGCTTCCCTCCTGTGCCTGGCAAGTGCAGAAAGTGCCAGTGATACAGACTGCCCAGCAGAGGACGCATCCCTCACTGCGATGTGCAGCGCTGGCCGGAGCTGCACCCTGCTGAGTGCCCTGAGCTCCCCCGCCTGCTGCTGTACCGTGGGGGGGGGGG